CTCGAGTGTCTTTAGCAAATTTAAGAGATAATCCTGGAACCAGAAGACAGGTTACCTTATTTAATTTCTTCCTTTCTATTCTATCATTTTTAATAATTAAATTCATATAATTTTCATTTAGAAACGACGTGGTCGCGCTCAACACGGTGGTGACAAGCATGGAGCAGGAAATAAAGGTTCCGGCCAGCACCAGAATTACATGAGATTAGGTTATGAAACTGGAAACAATCCATTCTATTTGAGAGTATCACAGGAACCATACTATCGGGGACACCAGTAATATATGACATTATCTTAATTACGTTAGAAATATAGTGATCAACTGTTTATCATGCTATAAAGTCTGACTTCAACTTCCATTGAAATCAAATGGTGTTATGAAGGCAGGAATCGAGAAGAAATTACATTATTTCTTATGATACATTACATTCTTATCACAACTATTCTTGTGATATATGTACATGCTACAATAACATAATTTTTATTACTTTCAACTTCAAGTAAATATTTTCCTAGAATATTTAAAAAAATATATTCTTGTTGTTAATTATTTGATAAAAGATAACAGCTCATCATTTTAATATAGTTTTTAACATGCCTTTATATACATTAATTCTTGTATTTTCAGTCTTCGCCGGCAATATCCTCCTCTCTCGCTGCTGCAACTACAAACGATGATTGATACAAATCGTATAGACACAAGTAAACCCATTGACTTAGCTGCATTAATTAGAACAGGATTATATCATATTGCTCCTTCTGATAATCATTTTGGAGTAAATTTAACTGATGAAGGTGCTGATCTATTTAAATGTAAAATAAATATTGAAGTGCAGTGGGCTACTGAAAATGTCATTGCTGCAATCGAGCGTAATGGAGGTGTGATCACAACTGCTTATTTTGATCCCCATTGCTTATATTCTATAATGAACCCTGAAAAGTTTTTCAAGAAAGGTGTTCCAATACCTAAAAGAATGCTGCCACCTCAGAATGCAATAGATTTCTATACATCTGCCAAAAATCGTGGTTACTTGGCAGATCCTGATGAAATAAGTAAAGAGAGGTTAGTGTTAGCCCAAAAGTATGGATATACTCTTCCAAAAATAGAAGATGATCCTGAATATGAAATGTTGACTATGAGAAAAGATCCTAGACAGATTTTCTTTGGGTTGCATCCTGGTTGGGTGATAAATTTACAAGATAAATGTATCTTAAAACCTAAAGATGAATATTTGGAAGAATATTATAAATCTTAAACTTGTAATGTGGATAGTTAGTAATATATTATAGTTAATTACTTTAGTTACAATGTTGTTTACCAAATACTAATTTATTTTCCCTTCTTCACTTTCTTTTCTTTAACAGGTTTCTCAATAATTTTAACTAAATTTTCTAATTCTGCAATTCTTGCATTCTCGAGTTCTTTCCATTTATCATAATCTTCATTATAAAATATTCTATCTGTGCAAATGATGATAATTTCGTAGAATTCCAAAAAATTGATTTCATAATCGATATTCACAATTTCATCCTTGCAGATAATAGTTGGGCAAATTTCTGCACAGCAAATTAAAAGATCTTTCATATTCAAATCTTTTAGCAATTTTAAGTCAATCAGATCCAAGTTGCATAAAGGACCTTGATCTGTACTTTCTACACTGTTTTCCAAAATTGAATCAGGAGGTTCTGGAAAGATAGTGTCACTAATAATGATGGTTTGTGATGGAAAAATGAATATATATATATATATATACATTATTTTAGTAAGTTATATAACTTACTAGGATAGTAAATAACATCATCTCCCAAAATTCCTTGATAACCGAATTGGACTTGTTCATAACTTATTTCTATTGATTCTTCTTCAATGCCTTGTTTCTGAATCGTGTAAATTAGATTTCTTATTGTCAGGGGTTCTCCAAGTCTTTTATACATAGAATACATAGTGTGCAATGGAACTCTGTTTCGAAATTCCGACAAAGCATATCCTAAAAATAAATGAAGCGTTAGGAGATCAAAAAGTTCTATGAGGTATCCCTTTGAATATGTGAAGTACCTATCATATGAAACTTTTAATTTGTGAAAAACATTGATATGAACGAATTATAAACTAGTGGGTGCATGGCATCGTGTCTTAAGGCAAATTGCTGGAACTTTCCATACCGTAATTGAAAATCTTGGTACAGAACTCAAAAAAATTTACAAAAATGTGTACACATTACTAAAATCTCTATAAAATATCTGATAATTTGATGTACATATGTCCAATAAACATTTTTGACCACAAAATGACATTTTTTTAACTTATTTTTATTGAGAGTCCATAACCGCTGGACCTGCCTTCCCAAAAATTCAATTGTTTGTTCATTTTGTCAATACAAGTAAAATGTTTTTTGAATTATTAAAATCTGTTCTCTTAAAAACTGAGTCACCATTTTTGGCACTTTTTGCCCCGTATCTTCGGAAGGGCTATATCTGCCTTCGCCAGAAACTAATCAGCACGTCTCCTTATCAATACGAATCGAATGTTTTTTAAATTATTCAAATTGGTTGATCGGTGTTCCCGAAATCGTCGTCAAAAATTTGTATCCGCACTTACACACACACAGACATGCATCCATTTTTTCTAAGGTATGCCAAAATATTCAGAAACTTTTGAAACAAAGATAAATAAAAATTTTCATTTTCGATTTTTTGCAATTACTATAACTTACCCTATGGGAAGTTAATAAGTGTTACGAGTGTGATAAGAATAGAATGTATTAAATACATTTAAAAAGATCTTATAATAACTAATAATTATATTAACATTATATTTATATTATTAATATGCCTAAGCAATTTTATAATACTATCCAAATGTAAGATAAATACCATTTCTATTTTCGATAGCCGGAGCTACATCATCCATTAGAAATGTATCGAAAGCAACTGCTAGAACTCCTTCCTTATAATTATGTATGTTCATATACTTTCCATACAAACACCAACTTGCTTCCAATAAGCAATGCAAGAATTGGAAGAATTGCAGTTTTTCAAATGGGTTATGATCAGAAAGTAAACAACTGGATACATTGATTGAGAGATCACGATCTAATTGAATAAGATTGATACCTAGAAAATAAGTATTTAAATCATTCACAATTATACTGGTAACTACATATAGTATCTAATAGCAAATTTTTAAGTTTGTACCTCTCCTCGAAAGCCCACAATCTCTAAACAGTTGCCATAAAAATAGTCTCACTAGAACTGGCTCCGAGTTTAGAGGTAATTTGTCATTTATCCCAAGAGAAGCATAGAAATTATAAACTTTGCGCAATAGATGCATATGATATATTATCATATTTCTCAAGTTGCATTCTTCAGACTCCCTCAAGGCCGATGTGCAAAATCTATCTGCACACGATGAAGCAATTGTTTCTAAGTTATCTTTGTTAAATTTAGCAGTTATTTCGGGCGACTTCTGTATACAATCTCCAATTTTTAAATTGAATATATTAGAATGGCTATCATAAAAAGGTGCAGTATGAAATGAGGTTGTGGGGCTATAATCCAGATTTACTATTCTGTTTGATTTAAATTTGCTTTGCTCTGGTGTGTTGTGCATTAAACGATTCAAGTGATATTCTAAGATGATATAATGGTCGGGCAAATGAAATGGCAAAGATCTGAAAAAAAAAATAATAATAAGTAGTGAAAAAGAATTTTATAAGAAAAATATAAATTTAAAAATATTTGTATATTGATTCGAATCAATACAGAAGAGTATACAAAAAATTAAACTTATTTGTATGAGAGATGTTGATTTCATGGATTATCACATAATATTCTTTAATTAAGATACAACACATCAAATTTGATTTTATGAAAATGTTGCAAAATACTACATAGAAAAGTGTTCTTTGTGTACGAATAAAATTTAATTAGAAATGAAAAATAAGAATGAAATTAAATTTTATTCGTTCACAGAAAGACACTTTTCTCATTATTTTAAATCATTTTCATAAAAACATTTATTTGAGCTTTATAAATATAAGTAGGGAGTATAAACAAAATATTCTGTGGTAATTTCAATAGATCATTAAAAAACATGATTCAATAATTTATAATTTTATATAAAAATTACCTTGGTTTGAATTCATTATCGGAATACGAGGTTCTATTATAAAGTAATTGCTTTTCAACTTCTTGAATCATAGCTCTTTCTATTCTGCAAATCAAAGTCAAAGTAATAAGAGGTTTACATTCGAATGTTTATGAATATATTAAATATATTTTATAACATAATTTGACAAACAATAAAATATAAATTTGTTTACTTACTTTGAATAATCTGAATGCAGTAGTTTCTTTGAAAGAGACTTTTTAGGTTTTTGATTTTGACCTTTTGCTTTACTTTTTGTCGAAGGAGAAGACTGTCTGGATTTCGTTTTTGAAGCTTGAAGTTAGATTTAGAAAAAACTTATATTAACCTGCATGCTATTTACATCACTTATAAGAAGCGCATATACCAATATATATATATATATATATATATATATATATATATATATATATATATATATACACACCTAAATCTGTTTTTACACCGTAGATTGGTTCCAGAAGAAGCCGTGTAAAAAAAAAACGTCTAAAAAAAGACATTGATCTTATACAAAAATGGGTGATTTGTTCCTAATCTCTAAAACCTATTAAAATTAGTGAAAAACAAGAATTTTTAAGAACAAGAATTTATGTTTATTTTATTAAATCAAATATATAATTCTGATACTATCGATGGTTTCAGACTTTTTTCTTTCATAAATACTTTTTTGTGATATGAACATACTTCGCAAAAATTAAATTTGACAAAAAAAATTTAAGTACATAAAATTTCAAATCGTGCTAAATGGAATAAAATCGTGTAAAAAAATAAAAAAAAATTCAATTTTCAAACCGTGTTATATCAAAACCGTGTACAAAAAGACCGTGTAAAAACAGACTTAGGTGTACATATATTATATATATTTACATTTTGTAATAACTTTCTTCTTCGAACGATTATCATTTTCAGATATATCTTCATTTACATTCTTAGATCCTTTGATCATTGCAGGACGATTTTTATAATATAATTGTTCTGATTTTATGATCAAACCATTTTTGCAAACAATGAGACCAGTTCCATGTTTGATATCATCATGCCAACTTCCGTCATAGAGACATCCATTATTCAAAGTTAACGTTCCTAAATATATATTATCTCAAATTTAATCAACTATGTCCAGATTTGTTGTAATAACTTAAATAATTTAATAATATTAAATACCAAATCCATGTCGAAGATTTTCTTTCCAATTACCATAGTAAAAATTTTGATTAAAGAAGCATATTTCAGGATATAAATAGGCTTCCCATATGTACTCGCCATAGCCATGCCTCAATCCATTTTTCCAATTTCCTATATATACCTAGATAATGAATATATAAAATATTTATTTGTCATGTTTATGAAACTAAGTATAATATTCTTTAAAATAATGAACATAATTAAAATTCTTACATCATTATTCTCCCAGACCATAGTTCCATTTCCATCTCTGATGCCGTTAATAAAATCTCCAGCATAAACTGAATTTGGATCATAATATCTTATCCCTTTGCCAGTGCGTACACTCTACAAATACAAGGTTGCTTTAGATATAATTAAATCAACAATATTTTCACAGTCAAGTACATTTTCAAATGTTCCCTCATACAATTGACTTCCTTGTTTCAAATTGCCTTTTCCTACTAGTTTACCTAGATTCCAAGTTCCCGACATATATATTCTTGGTAGATCTGGTTCAGCTGAAGGAAATCATATGCTGAGATAGAATATAGCAAAGAATTTAAATTTCATAAGTTAAACAATTAAGTCAACTTCAATTCATAAAAAAATTAATTAAAAATATATAATATTATATTACACACAACATATATCTTTAATAAAATATTTATTATAATAAACATATTTTATTAAAAATAAAGTAAACCACAAAACGTAATTAAAACGTTAATATAACGTCAAACATAAAGGTTACGTAACACCTAGAAGGCACACAGACGTTTCTATTTCCGCCTCAAAAACGTAACGGGCTATTATATAATTATTATAAGACAATGTCCTTCATTTTAAATTCGATTGATTGAGTTTTGTTTATTTACTTTTCTGTAAACATATAATATAAGTTACAGTGTTTATAATAATCTATTTGAAAATATTCAATTCCTCGAATATTTCATTACGGTACGGAAAGTTCCAGCAATTTACCTTAAGGCCATACACCACTAATTGAATCAAAAATTATCAAAAACGTTGAGAAAACACAATTAAGGTCAGGATGTTTTGCTTAAAAAAATATGTAAAAAAAGTAAAAAAAAGTATGTAAAAAAAAATATATCGAAGTTGATGATAAATATTTTGATCAATGTTTTAATTACGTATTCAGTCTTTGCGTCGATATTACTCTTAAATATACATTATAATAAACACAATAAATTGCACGTAATATAAACGAATATTTCAAGATTTGCAAAATTAAAAATTGTTTGATATAAAGAAAAATAAGCAGTATTTATAAAGATAGGCTCGAATTAAAACGTTTAAATCTTTTCTTATACCGTTTCCGATAAAATTTATATCAGAAGCAATTAATTACTTATAAAAAGGTTTACCAGGTGGTCCCACAAAAAATCCATTTCCGTGCCGAAAACCCTGGTAAACTTGACCTTCGTAATAGGACATATCAGACCAAGTGTACGATCCAAAGCCGTGTGGAAGATTGTCAAAAAATTCTCCCTAAAATAAATCTTAAGTCGCAATAATAAAATTACGCAATAGATGTATTCTATTTAAAATTACTTGATATATTGTTCCATTGCTCCATCTGTACAATCCTTTGCCTTCCATACCCTTTCTGGAAACTCGTCCAATATACATACCACCATTTTTGAAAGTGATCGTACAATCTTCATCTGAAATAACAGGTTTCCAATCTGGTAAAGGTTCTAAAGACGACATATGAGACTGGGTAAGAGAATCCGGAAACACGTGTTGTGGCGCATCATTTTGATTAGAGCCTTTTAAATCGTTATTTAGCGGCTCTTCGATCAAAGTTTCCAGTGGAGAGGTAACATCTTCCTTTGAAAAAAATTATAGAAGGTGCGATTAAAAAATTTTATGCGAAAATACATATTATAACTAGTTGAAAGTGGCATTTAGCTCTAAGGCAAGTTTCATGAACTTCCCGAAATGTGTAAGAATTGACTTAATCAATCGAAATTAAAAATTAGATAGAAAAATTTTCAACAGTTTATTTCAAAAGTTATAGTTTTAAATTAAGTCTTAACATTACGATTTCAAATAGAATTTTCTCAAACACATTTAAATTAACTGTAACTATATTAATTATATTGCAAAGACACGTGCTTGTATGCCCTAAAATTGTAGCTTAAGCTTAATAATAGGTTGTCAAATATCTCCCTTCCGCTTTTTTGTTCTTGGTTTATAATACAAAAAGGCGGAAGGGAGATATTTGACAACCTAATAATTATTATTTTAAATTTTAATGAATTGATAATGTTTGACTCATCACATCACGAAAACTTTTAACACAAATTTTGACTATAATATTTTCACAAATTTTGATGAATTTCTAGCATTATAAACTATTTTATAATAGGTCGTAACATTTGAATATATTTTATAAGACCATGATATCTATTGCCAAAATAAGATTCATAAAAATCGGCAAAGAAAATTTTTCGACAGTTTATTTCAAGAAAACGACTCGGTAGATTTTTACCTAAAACTAATCAGTATCATTCCCAAATAATAGCTTTCGAAAGGTTTTTAATTTTTGAAATCGCTTCAGAATTGAGAGCTAAAACTGGACGAATCATTTTTCACTTTTCTGCTATTGACAAAGAAACGGCCCAGCCGATCGTTGCACAAAACTGATACAAGATTGGCTTTTAAATTTTTGTTTTTAAGTAAACGTCAATTAAAGCTCTAATTTTGACAAACGCCAAAAAACGATACTAATTTTGCACACTTTGACGAATTTTTAAAATTAAACGACTTGTCGTAGGGCCGTCTACCATCAAAAACAAATTTATAGAAATCGTCAAAAAAATTTAAAACACACTTAAAAAAAAACTTTATTCCAAGAAAACGGCTCGGCCTATCTTTATCAAAAACTAATCAGCACGATTCCCAACCCAAATTTTTCGAACGGTGTTGAATTTTCAAAATCGATTCAGAATGCGGGCTAAAACGTAGATGGATTTTTTTTTCACTTTTCTGCTATTTACAAAAAAACAGCTTGGCTGATCGTAGCGCAAAATTGATAAACGCTAGTCCTCATCGAGATACATCGAATGGCTTTTAAATTTTAGAAATCGGTCCAGCCGTTTTTGAGAAAACGTCGATTTACGGTAAAAAATCTGCTCACATACACACATATTTTTTCCAAATTTGGTCTCATTCGATTCAGAATGGCTTGAAACGTCGAGAAAACATAAAATTAGCAATTCGGGTTTTTTGATGAAAACAAACTTCTTCTTCAGGAAGTTAATAAATATAAAACAATTTATATTATAGATAATGAAAAAAAACTTATATCTTACCAAGTTTTGAGACAATATTTCCCTTTCAGTTCTCAGAATTTCAGAGCTGGTTTGGTAAGAAGACAAACTCGTCCGTTTGGAATCTTTTTTATTTTTTACTTCTAAAAGGTAAACAAGAATATATTATATATTTCAGCAGATAATATATAATAAAATAGTATTTACTTACTGATAGAAAAAATTAAACATATTAAACAATATCATTACTCTGCTCTCATATTAAGAAATTCATAGAATCAATTTATTTTATCAGATAATTAATATCATATAAAATATATTTACTAAACGCAGATAATATAATTATAATAGATATTTATTACAGCCACATACCCTTCTTTTTTAATGATGATCTTCTGCTGCCTGCTGAAGTTTTAGATCCATTCTGACCACTTTCTCGACTCGATGAAAGAGAAGAACTCTTAACACTTGTGTCACAATAATTTGGAATTGGCTCAGGTTTCTTGAACTGTAATTTTATTATTTAAACTAAATTATTCGATATCATAGAATTATATGAAGAACGTTAAAATATATTTCTAAAAACAATCTTGAGCAAGTTCTTGAGTAGTTCCGGATAGATTTATGCGAGATGTACTACATTGGAGTAGATTTGCACTCATGGTAGTAGATTTACATTCATTGTAGAGTATAGATTTAAATTTAAAAATATACTTATTTCTCACTACTTGAAAATATACAAACAGTTCCAGTTAAATATACGCCCATTTCTAAAGTTTCTGCTTTTATGGATAATTTAGAAAGTATTTATTAATTTTTGCTCTAACGAACGTTGACCACCTTCCTCCCCCCAAAGAGTTCGGAAAATATAGCTAATTTGAGCTGGAAATACATAAACGATTTAAAATAAGGTTTTACTTACATATTTCACAGCAGATTTTTCATCCCATGTATCCACGATTACTTCTAGTAAATCATTATACATTGAGAGTATTAACTCATCATCAATACTAGGCTTTCTTCTTTCTTCTGCTAAATTTCTATCAGGAATGACATGAAAATCAACAGTGCTCTTTCGAAAGAAATCACTGTCACTTTTGTGTAAAGAAGCATGTGATAAACCTCGCACTTTTAGTAAATGGTTTTGATAAAACATATTTACGCGCGAAAAAGATTGGGCAGAATGTTCAGAACTCATTTTATCAAAAAATAGGTTTAAAATTGAAAAGATAGTGTTTTGTTTGAAATATCTTTATTATCTAAAAACAAATACTTTATAAGTTCATGAACTTTTAACTTTTCTGAGTACAAATATTTCTAAATATTTAGACATTAGACTAGAGTGGATATTTTTGAAATAAATATTTTCCAAAAAACAAATGCTTTAAATGTAAAACTATTGGGACATCAACTTCATTTTATCAATTCCACCAAATATTATTTGAAAAAATCTTTCAATATAAGTATATACGAGAGATTTTTGAAATAATATTATAAAAATTATGGATGTTCGGGAAATAGATTACCATGTATACATTTTCTTTTTGTATGTGATACATTACATATGGAACCGTGAAAACATGAGTTTATTTATTTATTTTTTTAAAAGTAATTAATTTTAGTTAAATTATTCAACATGATAAAAACTTTAATTTTCTGTGATGTGCAAATAAGTATATATTAACAATATATTTAGAATTTACAAAAAAAGATGTTTACAGTGCAAAATCACAATAAAAATCATAAAAAAGAAGCATATTGTGAGTAATTTCAATATAGTACGCAAATGAAAGTTCTTTAAACAAAAATAGGCTCTGCTTTTATAAAAAATCACCAAATAAAACAAACAAAAACAAAACGCAAGCCAGAATTGTATTTTGTTTTTAAAATTTAAAGCGCTTTAAATACAAAACATTCTTCCCTTATCGTTTTCTTGGTCATATCAACAAATAGGTTAGACCAACTTGAGATTCTTATGGAAAAAATCACTGTACAATGTTTTGCAGATAATACATCATAAAGATATCATATCAATTTGATATATCTTCATCGATATCTTTATCAATATGCAGGGTGAGACTGGAATTTCATCTTCCTGACAACTTGTTATTTAAGTCAGTTAAAAGATCTTCATTCATTCAATACAAATCGCAGTATTGTGATGCAATTGCAATTTCATCTGGGTAAGGTGCATAGATCAATATGCAACAAAAGTAGTCAGAACAATATTCAAACTCTTTACATTCTCATCAAACCAAGTTATCTTTAATTATCTTTAGCCAATCATAAATATTTTTAAATCAAGATTCATGTAGCAATCTTTGATAATGAGGGAAAATTTCACTTGTTGGCACATGCAAACTAAATTCCAGTGCTACTAGTACTGCAAACTCAGATGCAATCAGGTCTTTATGATTTAAGCGAAATATATTTTCAGTTTTCTGAAAAATATTGAACTTTAAGTAAAGAATTCTTTACAATAATTTTATATGATAAAAAATATGAATCATCTAATCATCTACCAGTATCATCTAATACCATGTTCAAATGATCAATTTCTTTGTGAATATTTACCATTAAATGATGGAATATCAAAATTATGAGCCAAACAATTATTTATTATTTTTAAAACCTGAACAATTTGTAATAAAAAAACTATAAGTACATACCTCAATAATGTCTTTTAATGCTTCTCCTTTCACATCATTTAATTTTGCTGATAACAGCATACAAGCACCAGCACAGAGTTTCCTGTTATCCTTTGTTATTAAATTGGACAGTATTAATTTTTCAAAATAGACAAATGCTTGAGCTACGGTGAGTAGATCAACGCCACTTTCATTGCGAGCTATAACTCTCATTTCTCTTTTAATACTGAAAATTGAATCGCAAAATAGTTATAAAATTAAAGTATTTTAGAGATAATTATTATAGACTTTTATTATACCTTCTTAACTTGCTTAAAGTTAGTTGAATATGAGGAAATTTTTCTCGAAATTTATCATTTAATTCCTTTTTTAAATCAGATGGTCTAACATAATCAATCACAGATGTAATATAAGAAGTGAATGTTAAAAGAGTTCTGTGTTTTCCAGCTATTAGTTCAGGATCATCCAATAAGTTAGGTGAGTAATGCAACTTCTAAAAATGTATTATATAAAATTACAAGTTAAAATTTAATTCTTAACGAAGTTAAAGAAAGATACAAAAAAATTACATTTTTATTTCATTAAATGTATAAATATATACATAAAACTAGTTGGTATTAGCATTTTGCCTTGAAGCAATAAGTTACAAGAACTTCCCTATATGTGTAAATAATCGAATTAATCAATAAAAAATAAATTAATTTGTGAGTGATCAAAAGTATTCTGAGTGGATTTATCACACATAATTGAAATCGAATGAACAAGTTAACTTGAAGTATTTTCTAAAAGCAAATTTTCAAAAGTCAATAATGTTTATAATTGAACCAGTTTCCATAAGACTTTAATGGTTTAAGTAGTATGTTCATTAAAACACATTACTATCGTTATACCAAGTAAATCGTCTAATTTTAATTGTTATAAAAAAACGACTCATTTTCTCAAACTTTTATGAATTTTTAAAATGAAACTACTTGTCGTAGGGCCGTAATATTTCAGTAAGTTCTATAAGGCAATGATATATATATATATATATATATATATATATATATATATATATATATATATCGCCAGAAAAAGTTCTATAAAAATCGGCTTAATTTTTTTCTCAACAGTTAATTACAAGAAAAGATACTACTGCTCGGTATGTTTTGCACCTAAAACTAATCAGTATCATCCCAACTAAAATATTTTTCAAACAATATTTTATTTTTATGAATCGATTCCGTAGTATGGTCTTAAATGTAGACGAAAAGTTTAACACTTTTTTCCAAATTACAAAGAAACGGCTCGGCAGATCGTCGCACAAAACTGGCAAACAATAATCCTCATCGAGATACATCAAATGGCTTTTAAATTTCTGAAATCTGTTCAGGCGTTTTTGAGCAAACGTCGATGAAAGGTCCAATTTTGACAAACGCCAGAAAAAGAATACTAATTTTTGCAAACTTTGAGGAATTTTAAAAATCAAACGGCTTGTCGTAGGGCGTAATATTTTAGTATGATCTATAAGACTATGGTATATCTACCGTCAAAAAAAAAAATTATAAAAATCGTCGAAAAATTTTTTTAATACTTTATTACAAGAAAACGACCGGGCCAATCTTTACTAAAAACTAATCAGGTCGATTCCCAGACACACACACACACACACACAAACTTGCCGAAGATTGTGAGATTTTCACTACTTACTAGTGGCAAAATAATTATAATAAAAAATAAAAGTATATATACCGTAGTAGATTGCACAACTGGTTGTGGATCTTCCCACTCTACTTTGCTATCTCCGATATGTGAAGCACTATGATTTAAGACGGGAGGCGGAGATGCTTGACTTCTCAAATTTAGCTCATGTGTTATAAACCTGAAAAGAAAAAAATATTATTATAAAGACAGATATGCTATTACCTTCCTTCAAACAATTTTCATGTATCACACCTTGATCCTTGATGGCATTTCGGAATAGAAGTTCTTACACCATCAACGGTATCACACTCCACAGGTTGTTTCCTAACAGTTTTTGTAGGTACCAATAATTTTCCGTATGACATTTCCTAAATAATTTAATTTTAGACTATTAATTAAATTTGGAAGAACATATATAAATACATAAATTTTGTTTTAGAGCATTTTTAAGTTAAATATTAAGCAACATCACTGAAATGTAAGTATTTAAGACATAACTCTTAACAGTATTAACAAATAAGTATTAAATTTAATACCTGCCCATTTTCACCTTTCTCTATACCCAACAAATCAAAAGGATCCAAAGAAACGTCATTAATGCTTGACAAAGGTCTCGTACCTGAAGTATTGCGACGTCTGCCTCCTTCTCTACGAATTTCAGGCCTTAAATATTTATATTCATAAGTACATAATAGTTGATATATTAAAATTTATAGTACAAAGTGAACAAATATTTTATATCAAATTTAAAAAAATATATTGTTTCACCTTCCATTCCTTGCACCTTTATAATATGGCAGAGCAGAAAATATCATAAATGGTATTTTATTTTGTGAGACCAAAACCATACGTCCTTCTCTAAATCTATGAGATTCATCAGCTTGTATAAATCTGACTTCTTTAGGCTTTGCTTCCAATAGAATATTTCTAGCTCGACCTAAAATGCATAAATTTCATAATTCAAATGAATAAGCATAAATCAAATTATAATTAATAAATAAATTAAATATACATTTTTCATTTGAATTCATTTTAATTGCAGTTTAAACCACCTGACCAGTCAAAAAATGGTATTATGATAATTGTGTGATCTCTTTGTTTTATCAAAAAATGTAATCAGATTTCCATTGCCCATATTTATTTAAGAGAAGATAAGAAGTTATCTTGGAATGATTTTACATGAAAAAAACTATTTACAAATAAGTGAGGGTTTACTAAATAGTCAGGTAATAATGCAGAATTTAACTTAAAAGTATTGTAACAAATATTATTCATTATTATTCAATAATCCATTATTATCAAGATGTAGTTTATAATATATATAATTGCTTACATTATAATTTGAAAAATAGAGACAAAATTTATTATAATAAATTATAATGGATATACCGGACAATAAAAGAAAAACAATTCTAGTTATTGTCAAATAATTAGAAATGTATATTTACACACCATGACTTAAACTCTCTGTACTACTATTTGGCAAACCACGTTCTAATTCTGTTGCATGGGCATTCCTTCCTGCTAATATTTGCGAGAAACTTCCAGTATTCCTTCTTGAATTAGATGTAAGTATATGCTTACGCTCTGAAACACTGCTGGTTCTAGATAATAATTAAGATGCAACTTGTTAAAAAACTATACAAGACATAATTATCAATATTATATATTAAAATATTTGAAGAAATTTACAACATTTATAATCAATTAAGTAAAATTTCAATAAAACATTGATAAATTACCAAATGTGGCATATATCAGTGAGATTTGCAATGCATTATTGTTATGTGATTTTTCTCACAAAAGAATAATACACAAATTTGATTAAAGTTACATAAATTTGGAAAATTTTGCTGGTTTGTCAAATATTATATAAAAAAGCATACTTTATAATAATTTAAGACTATCCATAGATATGAAAAAGTAGGTAATATTTATATTAAAGCAAAATACCTATCCCTGGCTGGAGTAGAGCAAGCAATTGATTTATCTAGCAAAGGTAATTTAGACGAAACTAAACCGCTTTCAGAATCAGAACTGTAGGAACTCCTTCTGTCCAGATTTTTCCTATGCTTAGTGTTAATTTTCGGACTATGTTTCCTTACACAGTATGAATCATTGTTTTCATTATCACTCGTGGTATTATTCCATTCAATATTTTTGTCCAACTGTTTGTTATTTTCTGTGTCTTCTGAATTAACATTTTTTGCAGCCAAATATTGACACTTTTTACCCAAGCTTGTGTCACGATAAGTTCCATCTAATGATATATTAGATAAAAAGGATTTTGCTGCAATACGCCTTCTAAAA